GGCCTTCAGTCCATCAGGATATCAGCTAGTCTCTCTTCTTCTAGGCCTTCTTCTAGGTCTCTCTTCTTCTAGGCCTAAACTATAGCTTTTGGCCCAGCAACATCAGATGAGGATGACATCCAATCAGAACACTTTCTCTGGGGAAGCCTCTAGATTACCTCATCACCCATAGCTCTCCTTCCCCCCCATCCTACAGGCATTATAAAGGCCAATAAAAAGCCAAATGATTATACTTACTGGACATAATCTCTCAAGCATTACAGTATATATTAATAAGAACGTAAGAAGAGCCCTGCTGAGTCCGACCAGTGGTCCATCTAGCCCAGCGACCTGGGCTAGATGGACCACTAGAGGTTCAACAAAAGGCATAGAAGCCAGGGTCTTCCCTTGATATTGTCTCCTGGCACTGATATTCTGAAGTCTGCTGCTTCTGAACATGGAGGTTCCCTTTAATCACTATAGATAATAGCCATAAATAGATCTATCCTTCCATAAATTTGTCTAACCCCTTTATAAAACTGTCTATGTTTGTGGCCATCACTATATCCACTGGAAGTGAATTCTACAACTTAATTATCTGTTGAGTAAAAAAGTACCTCTTTACTTCACCTATTTCCACAGAATTTATGTCAACATCATCTGGTAGCTTTCCCCTATCAATTTGCCAGTCGTTTCTCCCTTTTAAAACATGCTGTCTTATACAACATGAACATACATCCCACAAAAGGTATGTCTTTAGTATCTGTGCACAGGGAAAACTCATTGCTACTGTCTGAAACTGCCATGTAGTTTTTGAATACATAATGCAGTCCAGATTATGTTCTCATAAACACAAATTCTTTTCTTTGTGAAGGGAAATGGTTGGACTACTATCTTGTCTCACCTAATAAAAGCAATAGTATAAGAACAGTGCTTAGCTCTGACTGACCTTGAAACATAATTGGCTAGCAGGCAAGTCTCTGTGGTATATGCCACTGGGCAGATAAAATATGTGGGATTATAATCAAAACCGATAAAGCTGCAAAATTAATCAACAGTGTTTTCATACAGGAGGTTTAAAATAACAGAAGGTTCTAATATTGCCTAATTTCTTATGTATGTTGCATGACTTCCAAGTCAAAGTCTCCAATGTACACACGTCAGTTATTTTCTTTGATGCCTTTATCATTTATTTTAAATTTTGCACAAATTTAATTTTTTACTTTAAAATCAATGAAAAACCTTGAAAATTATTTTGGAAAAAAATGACTTTTGCATGCAGTGTTTAATCCAAGGCTTCCTCATGCTGAAAGATTGTATGACAGTTTGTGTTAATAAAGTTGCCTTGTCCTAATTTGTGTTGTGTGCAATGCTTCCTCTAAGGTGTGGAGTCTGGTGAGTAAACATTCTACTTTGTGAGCTACTGGCATTAAAGTTGTGAGCGAGGGACTTGGCTGCTGCATAAATTAGTTTGTTCTGGAGCCATCCTTCCTGAGCTTAGACAAAAAGGTGTGAGCCGGAGGCTAAAAAACTGTGAGCTAGCTCACATTAACTCAGCTTAGAGGGAACACTGGTTGTATGTATGTGTGTGTCTTGGTAGGCATTCAATGATAATGTTGCGGACTTGATAAGTGGCACCAAATTAAAGGTTAAGAACCATTGGTCATAGATATATTTATCATTGCTTTTTGCGTGTATGCGTTGTTAGTTAAAAATATTTAAGCAGATTGTCTTTGAATAATGTTTAAAAGGTGTCCTATGTTTGGTGTAGTGCTTAAGTGCATGGACTGTAACCTGGGAGAACCGGGTTTGATTCCCCACTCCTCCACTTGCAGCTGCTGGATGCCCTTGGGCAAGCCATAGTTCTGTCAGAGCTGTTCTTGAAAGAGCTGTCTCAGCCCCACCTACCTCACAGGATGTCTGTTGTGGGGAGGGGAAGGGAAAGCCGCTCTGAGACTCTGAGTGAAGGGCAGGGTATAAATCTAACCATCACCACCACCACCTCCTCCTCCTCTTCTTCTTCTACCTATACATTTTTATCCCACCCTTTCCCAAATTCAGAGGGGTCTACATGATTTTCCCTTCCCCGCTTTATATATTGATCTTGAGTACTATACAAAGTCACTTTGCTTTTATTTACTTCATTTATATCTCACTTTTCTCTCCAATGGGGAACCAAAGTGGCTGCCATCCTCCTTTTTACCTTTACAACCACTCTGAGGGATAGGTTAGGCTAACAGTATGTGACTGGCCCAAGGCTACCAAGCAAGCGTTCATGGCAGCATGGGGATTTGAACCTAGGTCTCCCAGTTCCTTGTCTGACACTCTAACCACTACATTGTATTGGCTTTGGATTTGTTTGTACAGCTAAGGCTGATCTAAGAACCAATTAACACATTCTGGAACAGTAGGATGTACGGTCCTTGGGGATTTGCCCTGCCAATCGTGGAATGGGACCAATGCCCAGTCTCAGTCAGAAGATAACTTTTGCAACTCTTCTTTCAAGTTACTCTGTCACTTGGAGAAGCAGCTGAAGGTTTGGTCATATTTGTATGGGACAGAAAAGGAGTTATTAGTGATGGCAGTGAAGCAATTGGTACCACTGCATACCAATCATGATGCACAAAGAAAATCTGTTTTATGCAAAGCTGAGGCAATGGTATACACAATTTCTGTACTGATTAAGTACAAACCAAGTACGGTAGCCTGTCCATCTTCCAATGAAAAACATGGACAATTAGTAAAGACTGAGAAACTGCATACTAGCCATCCATCACCATTTTCATTATATCAGATTCTGAATCTGGCCCCTAAGCAAATCCAAAAGCCAAGGGACTGTGGCCAGGTACAGACCAGAAACATTTTTCTATGCCTCTGGGGGAGCCCCCAGGCTGACAGGAAAGGTCCAAATGTTTAATAAAGGCCGAGGGTTAAATCAAAGGAGTGTTGTCTGCACTTGCACAGGCAACATAAAGGAACCAAGATCTCATGACAAAGCATCTAGAGATCTTTGCCACTATTGTTAGAGATGGTGGCCACTAATGGGGTGAGTGGGGGGGGGGGGCAGGCAAGCAGTGAGTGGTGGTTAGGGGGGGCAAACTGGATAGATATGGTAGTCACTGATTAGGTGAGCAGGGAGGAGGCGGTGGGCAGGCAGAGAGAAGGCAGGCAAGCAGTGAGTGACACTTGGAGGGGATGACTGGATGAAGGCAACCACTGCCATGAGGGAAACCAAAAGTAAGAAGCTGGCTGGGCAAGCAATAAGGCAGCAGTATCTTCTCTTGCTTCCCAAGCTGTATTCCTCCCCCCCACCCCAAACACTCCGGGACAGATGGCAATGAGTCCGCCAGAAGAATGAGGATATGGCAGCATTTCTGTTGCTGTTTTCTCCGTCCCCGTTCCCCTGTATGGGAGAGGTGAGGACGTGGCAGAGGCAGTGACCAGGAGGAGGATAAGGCTGTGGCAGCTCCCCTTCTTTTTCCAGTGAGTTCCTTGGTAGAGGTGATAGGGGACAGAGAGAGACAGAAGGGAGAGCATGCAAAGGATGCTATGGTGACAGTGAGCAGACTGGCAGGTGTGGCAGCAAGTGGAGAAACAGAGGGAAATGAAGGAGGAGGCGGTGGGAAGGGCAAGAGAGGTGCCACTGCCAGGTGAACCAACAAGGAGAAGGAGAAGACAGCATGGGAAAGGAAAAGTAAAAGAAAAAGTAAAGGGGGGAAGGAAAGGAATGGCTGAGGATGGGAACAGGGGAAGCAAGATAAAAGGATGGGATTCCCCCTCTGAAAGTCTTGTGGATCCCCACTGATCAGTCACTAATTTTTAAATACGCCTGCCAAAAGTGAATACGATACAGTCCAAACACGGCAGTGAATACATCTGCTATGCACATGGGAGCCAGGAGAATAAAAACGGTTGTTTAACCACTTGAAGAAGCTGGACTAACTTCAGGGTATTAATGAAGTTTACTTTCACGCTGACCCTATGTAGATGTTTTAGGATCTAAAGTGGGCTGTGGAATTCTGTACCTCCTTCCTCCACCCCCTCTCTCTTTTGCTGCTTCATTCTACCCAAGCTTATGTAATGTTATTTATAGTCCACCTTTCTCACTGAAACTCAAGGCAGTTACAATCAAGTTATGTTCAATAATTTTCAATCCATATAAAACTGAATGTTGGAAGTGAGCAGTATCCTACTGCTTCATGTTTGGAAGGTGTAGTTTTATACATTCCTCTCCATTGCTGTGGATCTTTCTGACCTGTGGAGGTACCAGCCCTGAGCTCATGGGAGCTCAGAGATGGAAGTGCAGGGATTCAAGGAGATGAAACCATTTTCCTTCCATTTTGCACAACAGTTACATTGAGGGAAGAAGTACTTTCATCCCTTTGTCTCTCCTAATTCCAACATGCCAACACTGTTCCCTCTAAGCTGAGTTAGTGTGAGCTAGCTCACAGTTTTTTAGCCTCCAGCTCACACGTTTTTGTCTTAGCTCAGGAAGGATGGCTCCAGAACAAAACTAATTTATGCAGGAGCAAAATTGCTCACTCACAACTTTAAGGCCATTAACTCACAAAGTAGAATTTTTGCTCAGAAGACTCCACAGCTTAGAGGGAGTATTGCATGTCAATAGCTTTTTTCAGGGGTCAGAAGGAGCTGCAGCAATGGAAAGGGATATGGGAAAATCCAGTGTGTCTTCCGCACTCAGGTGCTAGGATGCTGCATACTAAATCCGTGGGGTTTTTTTTTTGGGGGGGGGCAGGTAAGTATGGTTCTGCTCCTTTGGTTTGCCAATTATGGGGACAAACCATCTATTTTCATCTTCTAGCACTGATTACTTAGTCTCCAAGAGGGAGTTACACCAAAATGTTTTTTATAACTGTTATCAGGATACTTTCTTACCCTGGTAATGGCTATTCACACGAATAGCTTCAATTTTAAGACTCATTGCACTGAAGAGTGCACAACTTGAGAAATATACCAATGCAAGACTTACATCTCTATTTTTGAAGAAATAACTGGCCTACCTTCACAGCTTCACTTAGGGTTTGGTTTTTGTCTGCTTCTTCGTTGGAATGCAATTCCAGTTTATACTGCAACTCCTGGAGCTGTTGTGCCTGCTCATTCAAAAGCATTTGTGCCTGCTGCTCCCGAAGTAATGCATTATTCAGCTCTTCGCATGCACTTTCAAACCTCTCGTGGGTGATCAATTTCTGATAAAGGAAATAAATTGTGTTCTGTCAAGGAATTGCGGCATTGTTTATATACACTTGACTTTCAGGATCCCACTTGCCAATATGCAACATTCTAATGCAAAAGTTTTAAAAAACACTCAATATATCTGCCCAAGGGGCTTTCTTTTCTAAGGCAAGACCATTAAACAATGCTAATGCCAGTTGATTTTTATTCACCCAACTTCCTCAAAAACCTAAAGCATATGATGACTCCAAAAAAAAAAAGCTTCTCTTTCAAACTACTAGTGATCAAAGAGATTGTACCTCTCAATGAGAAAAACACTTTTTATAACAGGAGTTAATTTGAACAGAAGTATCACCACAGTGTTCTAATGTTTAACCCCAGACCCATACACCCAAGAAGTACTGTGTGCAATATGTAAAATGGTTTTTTTTGGGGGGGGAAGGGGAATGAGAAGCAAACCTGCTAAACTTATCTATCCCCACTCTTGTTGCTAAAGACAGCCAAGCCAATTGAAGCTGGTAGAGCTAATTACTAGGTTAGGTAATTAAAACAAGACAATTCCAGTACAACAGTTTAGTCAGAACAAAAGCCAAGCTCTGAGGTTAAAGTTACAAAAAATAACAATTTTCCATCTCCATCTGCTGGCAGGAGGTTTCATTCACATGTGCCTGTACCAACCGTAGATAAAAATGAATTTTAAAAGTCAGCCTCATGAGAAATGAATACGTAGGAGGAAACAGAACACAAACTGGGGAAAGGCAATTAATATGCTGAATATATTTTTATCCTTCTTTCTTAGCCCCCCCCCCAAGAAATTCCCCTAAACTTTTCATTGAGAAATGAGACTATTTGCTGCAAGAAAAGAGAAGTGGCCATTTCCTCAGATAGCTAAGGTATTGAGGGCATTAAATTGTGAGCCTTCAGACCACTGATAAAGTGGTAGGCCACCAGGTGCCAAATGGCTTCTTCACACACCACAGAATTCCAATACAGAAGGCACTTCCATGTACACATGAAGTTGCAACCTGCAACAGATGACCCTTGCCTGAGCCTCTTCCTGCTTCTAAACATGCCAGGAATTCACAGATGGCCCCAGTTTCCCACTGTTTATACAACGCAAGCTTGCACAGCAACGCAAACCCACCTGTAAAAGCTGTCACACATGATGATCTACATTAGAATTCCACGTTAAATCAAACGTGAAAGTGCCTTCCACGTAGGAATTTTGTGATGTGTGAAGAAGCCCTTACTTTGCTCAAGAACATATCAACAGTGGGGCAGCTGGAAAGGAAAGCAAACAGGTGTACACAAATCATACTGTGCAGATCATGTTAATACACAATATGTTTCAGCTCAGGGGTTCTCCAGCAGCAAAAAACACTGGGGGGGGGGGGGGTATCAGCGTTCAAGATCAAACATCTTTATTTACTCAGTGTACCTTATGCCACAATATAAAAACCAAAACATATTGAAGGAGACACGTCTTCCTTTTTTTAATGTATCTGATTCATAGCCAGGAAACATTTGCAAGGCACAGTTATTCGAGGAGGTGGGGAATGTCATAACAGATTGACTTTGTTACTTGATTTGCCAAGGAATACTGAATCAAAATGGAGTCAAAAGAAATCTCTCCTTTAGACCAGGTTCTATATATATATTTTTTTCCTACATCAAATATACTTACAGATTGCTTAAATGTATTTAATTGCTCTTGCAGACTCTGGGCTTTGTCAGCCTCTTTCTTTATCTCATTCAAATTCCGTTTGAATTCTGTGAGCTCTAAGCGCAGTGACCGCCGTTCTACTTCTGCTGTATGCAGCCTTTGTGTAAATTCAAATATTTGCTTCTGCAAGGACGCTATGCTTTTCTGGCAGTAAAACGGAAACAATGTTGTTAGCTATAAAATGTGCTGATTAGGCAATAAATCAATAGCATTTAATGCCTGGGCAAATTAAAATGAAGCTTCCTTGCTGGGTTTCACACACAAAAGTGAAGCCTTCTAAATCTACTCCTACATGTTCATAGAAAAATAGAGAGAGAGGGTGTTGGGGAAGGAAGACAGGAAGAAAGGCAAATGGTGGCAACATTTACCATGTTTTCAGTACCACATTTTTCATCAGCACTCTGTAAGATAATTATAGTACTTCTGAAATTAAAATCATATGTATAGATTTGGAGCGCCAAATTGCTGGAAAAACTAAGAAATCAAATAGAGAATTACTAGAAGTTATACAAAAGTTAGCTATGTTTTAAACCTTGTTACCTTATCTTTCCATTGTCTAGCTTTACTTGAGAGCCTAATAATTTGATGATGCTACACAGAGTACATTCAAAGAAAAAAACTACCAAGTTGATAGCAAATTCAGGATATACAGTACCTATTGTATGCTAATCACATTCATACGAACCGTAACAGGGACTCCGTCATTTATGCCTTCTTTAAGGGCTTGTGCGTTTATTTTATGTAGCCCCCGAGCCAGTCTCTGAACTAATGAGTCTTTCTCTACGTAGGTGATGCTCCGGCTGCTGTCTGAAATGGCAACTTCCATCATTATGCAAAGTTTGTCCATGAGTTTTGAAAAAGAATTCCTTGCTGCGCTTACAAGTAAATGTCTGGAAAGCCAGGAATTCAAATCTTTAGAAGAGGGAAAAATAGCAAAAAATAAATAAATAAAATAAATCCATAAATCAAGTATGCTCTGGATTGTTGGGCTTTATCTTCTCTGAGTACATAAATATGATAATATCCAATACTGAGAACATGGAAAAGGTTGCTCCAGACATTTTCTAATATACAGCAGGCCAAGAAGCAACATGGAATCACCTCCTAAGGTAACCTTACTAGGAAATAGCTATGTTTTCAGCATCCCTTACTTCTGATTAAATAAGGCTAATCACAGTAAAGTAGTACTTTACATGAAAAGTTTCCAGGGGGAAAAATGTCCCCTGAACTGTTCTTCAGTGGAAACTGACTAACTCCACTGAACTTCAAGGAGAGTGATGTATTCTAAATCCTTAATGCAGAATATTTTCCATGGAACTGTTTTGGGGGTTTACGTTAGGAAAGACCAACCGTAACTTTCTTTCTGAGCCTGTTATGGATGCTAAAACAGAAACTAAGGCATAGATCCTATGCGATGCTTCCTAAGCACAGTGCTGTTGTCCACTGCAGAGGTAGTATTCCACTGTGCTGTCAAGACACTCCTCTAGCAATAGGCATTTCTGTTCATGGAACTTCAGCGTCTTTCAACGAGCAGAGAAGCAGCTAGGCCAGAGAGGAGGAATAAAAATACAGGATCCAAGCCCAAGGCATTATGTGAACAGACGTGCAACTGAACTCCATGAGTCCAAGCCAGAATGTAGAGTTCATTAAATATGCACTTTCAAGAGGACAATTCTGTTTGTCGGAAGGGAATCCAAATTCAGACCCACATTTAATTCCACTTTTGATGCCCCTGAAATTGCACACACAATTTTCCTTGTCTTCTAATGCTGCATATTTTTTCATTCATTAATCAACAGGTTGCAATACATGACACCCAAGACCTGTTGTGTAAGCAGACTAAAAACTCTTATAAATATTGGTAAATGTGCCACAGATTCAAAAGCAGAAGGTAAGTCACTGTTACAAATGTATAACCTTTTCCCTTTCTTTCCTGACAGCTTAGATGTCTAAATCATTTGCTGCTTAAAACTACTGAGGCTTGGTACCTTAATGCCATACTATTTATATTCCGAGACAAGAGAATATAATTTACCTTATTCCAAGGCAATTAAAATTTTACAACTACAATTACTTATTTCCCCATAGGATTTTGGTAATCATCCTTCTCATATAATGGACTTAAGGCCCCAGCACACCCAACATGTTCTGCTTACTGCTAGATTCGTCAGGTCTGTAATTAATAATTGTGTTTAATGTTGATAAATAAAATTGTCAGTGCTCCTTCTACTAATTGGTATTCCAGATAACAGTTAATAGGTTTATTTATGCCTTAATAAAAGTCTTGTAATTTAGTTTTCCCTCTGCAAGTCAGGTCTTAATCTGTCATTACTTGTCTTACGATACTATCAGGGTAAGATGACAACCATGGCGGAGCTTATTTATATTCAGGAGAACACAAGATCTCCTGTTGTGGGAGTGAATTAAAATATTTGTTCAGAAAGTTGAAAGAAGAAAGGCTATCAAGGCAGGGGTTTTTTTTTTAAAAAAAAGAATGCCATCTTTCTTCCTCCCTTTGGTAAGGAAAACCAAAAGGTTTTAGGCAAACAGGAATACAACTCCTAGAAAATTCTTTCCATCTGGAACTGAAAGATTATCTAAACGTTTAGAAATGATCTAAACTAAATAGAGTAAATGTCTATTTCAGGATGCAACCAATTAAAATATTTTCTGCAAAACAAGACAACCGACACTCTCTGCTAGTTTTTATTTTATGTATATATAGACCTCACATATGAAATATAATCGATTTAAGATTCACTTTACATTGCCAGAGTTCCAAAGGGCTACTTCAGGTGCAACTAGGAGCTTGGGCATCTCCATGTTTTTTCTGTTTTCTGTTTTTTACTTTTTTACTTTGAATAGCAGGACCAAAGTGCCTGTGAGGGACTTCCTTTGCCAGCACTGGCTCCTTTTCCTCTACCATCACATCCCACCTCTTTGGGGTTCCCCAAGTCTCCAAACAGGGGTTAAAGGGACAGGAGCAAGGGTTACAGCACCCAAGTCTGTCCTTTTCTTCCCCAGGAGATTGCTCCTTCAGCTAAGGCAAGTACTCCTCTTTCCTCCCAGGTCTGGTATTGGACCCTTCCTAAATGCATCCTCCTAATCCTTCAGTTAGCCCCAGCCCCACCTCTTGGCTTCACCCTCACCATTTGTGCTACCACCTGGGCTATGGGCCGTAGTACCACCCCTTTAAATTGCCTTCTCCAACCTGGCTGGCCCTCTTCCTTGCCTTCCTGGCCCCCTCCTTGTAGGAACGTCTGCTGGGCCGTTGCCTCCTCAGTGCTCTGCTGGTCTGGAGCTGTTGACTTTGGCTGTACCCAACCCTGTAGCTAGACGATTTTCAGTGGGGGGACACTGGATGGAGGGGCTGGGGGAGAAAAAAGAATGGAGGCGCCCGACAGCAAGGTTGAAGATTGTGCTCAAGCCTTTTTAGTTTGTGTCTGTCTTCAGTCTACGTTCAACTGTAAAAAAGGCTAGATTGTCACATATGAATAAAGAAAGAATTGGCGGCCATCTTCCCAAAGGCGTGTCTGGCAGTCTTAAAGAAACAATTTCTTGTTTGTCAAGAAATTTTCAAAGCTCAAGGAAATGAAACCTATCCACTGGATACTGCACAGACAGCCAAGGCTACAGCTAGCCCAGCAAAATGGTTTAAAAACTGGCTTTCTTGCTCCCTCTGCTATGAATATTTTATGGAGCCAGTGTGCATACATTGTACCCTTTGCAAATATTTCAGGAGCCTCAAGGTGCTCAGCTCGCCACACAGGTTTTAAAGAGGTTTGGGGATAATTTAAATTTAGACAAACAATTAAGACAATATTCAGGTTTTTATGATTTAATTTTAGTGTGGAAATTTGTTCAACTGCTAAAGATATAATCTCTTTTTTTGTTAATAGATTATTGCTAACTTTAGGAAAGTGTTTGTTTATTCTTTTAAAGAGAGAATCTAGCCCAAAATTCGGTAATATTGATATTTTATTGTCTGCTTCTATATTTGAAATATGTAATACATTTGACAATACAACTGATTTTACTTGTATGTAACAATTAATAATATTTGATAAACTTGATGAATCTATATTTTCCCCTACCTCTTCTTCCCTTTTGTATTCCACTTTTTTGAGAAACTTTAATAAAAAAAGAGAGAAAAAGAGGTTTAGGGGTTAGGAAATGAGACGTGTTACAAGGGTGGATGAGATTGCCACAAATTTATCCAGGGCGCAGGGAGGAAGGAGGTGGGCCAGCAACCTGTCCAGGGGAGAGGCAGCCCAGCCACAGACAGCCCCTGCCCGGAACCGCAATGCCAGCTGGCTTCGGCCAGAGCTGGGGGCAGAGTTGGGAAGCAGCGTGTGCACTCCTTCTAGATTTTTTTGGGGGGGCACTGTGAATTCAGGAGAGGGTGTCACCCCACAGGCCCCATGCTAGCTATGGCCCTGGCTGTACCTGTTCAGCCATTGTTGGTGGTATCGAGGGCTGCTGCACTGACCCTGCTGTGTCTTCCTTTCTGGCTGAGATGTTTGCCGGGTGAGTGAGGGTGGTAGTGACAGTTCTGCTGAGCTGTAAGGCTATTGGAGGTGGTGTGGAAGCCACAGGGAGTAAGGGAGAGGCCAGATTGGGTGCCACTGACCCCAAACAGTCCTGTGTTATAACTGGATTTTGATCGTCTCCTTAGTTTCAAATGTGGTTTGCAGTGTGGCAGAGAGAAGGCTGCTTTTTGATGGGAAACTAATGAAAAGTCCCATTGGAGATGCACATGAGTTCTTTATATCCTGGTCATTACGTGGAACCAGGAGTTTTCTTTTTTAAAGTTTGCTGATTAAACAGAACCATGGTTTTTAGTTCTGTTTTAACCTAATTTTTTGCCAAGATAATTTTATCACTATATCAGATGCTACTGGTATTAGAAGATTTAACAGAATACATTATATTCCAAGTTGCTGTCATTCCACATGCATATAATTTTCAGTCCTACACTGTACAAGTCTTGTTTTTAAAGAACTACCACAGAGATCTAATAAAAAAATCCCAAGGATGGGGAAAGCACACAGTTTCTAAAAGCAAAGCATCACCTCTGGTTAATTTTTAATGAATAATGGTTTTGACTAAAACAAAGAAATGTGTGGCTTAGAATCATTCACTGCTTTGAAAGGTGAAATGAGAATACAATGCAATTCCACAAGGTACTGTGTTCGGCTGTATCTATAACCAGAGGGAAAAGAATATATACACTTTAAGTACCTGGCCACAGACTATCAAGGAATTACAGTAAAAGCACTAAATAATTTATGTTGTGATGAGTGTGTGAGAAATGTCTTACACAAATACAGTTACAGTACAAAGAGCAACTGAGTCTTTATTAAACAAATGAAGCAAAAGCCAATGAAAAGTGACAAACATTACTCTAGTGACATGAGGATAGTCTCTGTTTTGCTTTTGAATTTTTTCCCAGAGAAATAGCACTGGGGGGAACTGAACTCCTAACTAATGCATAAGTGTTAAAAAGTTCATGCTGAGTTTTAGAAACTCAGCTTAAACAGCAACTGATCACAATCAGACTGATCAAATAATTAGGTTTGTTTAAGCAATACTGCTCAAGGTTTGGTCTTAAAAATTGTATGCCAATTTTGTATTGCAGTGCAGGCCTAATACTATCTCATATTGCTTCAGAAGTACAGGGGTCAGGCACAGAAGTCAGCTGTTCAAGAAACATGTCAGAAATATGCTTGATATGCATGGAACTAGCTGTGTTGTTCTTAAGCTCAACTTTCTTAAGTTGAAAATGTTTAGTGTTGTTAACCATAAAAAAAATACTAGAGACCAAGATATTGTTTGGGGGCTGTGCCACACTAACTCCTGGACAATTTCCTTGGCATAAGGTATTAGAAACAATAACCATCAGTGGAATCAACTGCGTAACTAATGCCAAGTTGCACACATATTCACAAACCAAACTAGAAGCACATCCTGTTCAAAGCACAACCAATATGCCAGGGCAACTGTGGATGTGCCATATTCCTAGGAATGCATGACTAAGACCATGTCCACCTACTTGTTGCATGTTGAAGGTACCATTGGGGAACTGGCTAACAGAATGGACCAGCTGGTCAGAATGATCTCTGTGGAAAATCAGCATAAATTATGTGTCCTTGGTGTTTTCCAAGAGATGCCACTCCATTATGGGTATGCAATCTTGGCACAACCTAGCAAATTCTCAGCAACAAGCTGTCTTTGCTGGATGGCAAAACATGCTTGCCTGGAACTTCATTGATTTATACCTAATGAGTGGTTTGCCTTCTTCCCAAGTTTTTATTGCAGGCAACAGCATGTTACCAGGGCCTGGATTAATGTCTGCTGCAGAGATAGCCTGGACCATTTTCCTAAAATCCTATATACTTCTGAAGCCAACTGTATCTTCTCTTGTATAAACTTTTCCTTCCCACCTTAAGGGAATTAAAAATGGGAACATCAACAGCAATTCAATTTTTCAGCCAAGACAGTTCAGTTTGCAGAAATGGCCACCAAGTTTTGTGCCCTTAATCTCAGAAACTGCGGAAGTTTGACCTTCTACCTGGGAAGTGTGGAACGGAAAGGAAAATCTTTCTCGTACTCAGTTTAGTCACTGGAGCTTTCTACTGTCTTCCATGACAATTAGAAGCCAGAAAGGTCCACAGGTTGCTACATGGGTGTCTGACCTTTCTCAGCTGCAGTCAAAGCAATGCAGAAGGTATCTTACATGGCTGCAGGTTGAAACACATATACACACAATGACTAGGTCAATTTTGGGTTAATTTATAGATTAACAGTCTACAATAATTTGAGCTACTCATCATGTATTCAAAAGGAATTGTTTAGAAATACTGGCATGATTCCTACATAGCAATAGATACACCATTATACATATAAACCTTGAAAACTCATGGTCTCAGACACTCCTGCCCCCTTTCCCTCATGCGCAGTTCATGCATTCCCTCTCCTGCAGCAAAATGACATCTAAACCACAAACTATGGCTCATAAACATTACCTGTTCTGCTAAGAACTTCTTGCAGCTCTACCATAGAACTCAGGATTGATGCAAGAAGGTCAGGACTAGTAAACCAGTTCAAAGCTTGAAGAGAATAGATCTGTTCCTTCTCTTGCCCTATAATACAAAAAAGTACTTTTTAAAAATACTTCTCGGAACAGTATTATGAACATTATGAAGCAGATTTGGAAACTTCTCAGTGGATACAACAGACAAGAACCTAAAATTATTCCAAGACATTTTCAACTGTGTTAACAAACACTTTAAGATGTTTTAGCTGCTAACAACAGGCAAATAATTTTCTATTTGCCACCCTTGTCATTTGGAAGAATTCCAAAATGAGTTAATGCGTTCTTCTTGTCTTCTACGAGCAGCAAGCTCATAACAACAAGGCATTAATTTCAGCAGTGGAATCCATGTTAGAAACTTGGCCATCATATATCCAAGGTTTGAACTGATCTTCAAATGTCCTAGGAATTCACTTTTTCTCTAAAAAAAAAAAAGTTATGGCTGGAATTTCCCAGAATTCTTATAACTTTTCCATGGATTCTACACTCACAAAAATCATAGTGCAGCCTGCAATTTATCTACCTAAAATATAAGAATTCTTGGTAATTATATAGTGGATTTCACGTATTTAACCCACTTAATAAAAATTCAGGAAAACTTTCACAGACGTAAACAAGCATTATTTACAAGCTGTGGACACATGGGAATCACAATTCATGTCAATGCAGACGTAATGCTACATCAATTAAACTATGGAAGGTAGGATGAACTGGGGAAAGGTGGATGGAATGCCTGCACACTCCCCAATTCCTAAGCATGGTTATGTCCATACTAGCCAAGAGTACTTCAGATTCAGTTTACCAAAGATTCAAAAAAATGGGTGCTTCTGTGCCTTTAATAGCACCACTGGGGTTTAGTAGTTTTAATTAATGCACTAGATTTGCCTTAACAGCTTAAACATTTTCCCCTCAAATTGTGAAGCCGATGCCCCCCATTGCCTTGGCATAATATAATTGTTATTTAAGTACTGAAAGTGCAGTTTGACACAAAACATATCAATCTTTTGCTGATTATCTTACTTGACAGATTCTGTGCATCCTCTGAGTCTCCTATACAGACCAAAATTCCTATGCCTTCTCTAAAGCCATCCACCCAGGAGAAAAGGGCACTGCATGACTGGCCCAGCATCTGAAGCCTATTGGCTGCTAGCACTGCAATTACGCCTTTACGGAAGAGACGTATCAGGCCTCTATAACGCCTTTTCTTCTGCACCTTGTCCTCACAGTGCTTCTTTTCCTCAGTATTCGCCAATGCATTGGCCAACGTCCTAATCTCATGCTTGAAAACTTCACAGGTGTTGAGCTGATCCTGAAGAAAGTCCCTTTGTGTGGATAAGGCACAGGACCGGCTATAGAGTGGATACAAGGCACCAGATAACAAGGCACAAGCTGCCAGCAAAACGGTATGCTCCTTTTCGGTCTTTGTCGATACATTTTTCAAGTGCGAATTTTCAAGGAACAATTCCTCCTGCACTTTTTCTGCAGCAGCAAATTTCTCTTTGGCTTTTTCTGCCATTTCTTGATATTTCTGCAATGAAAAAAAAAATTATTAAATACAAGAGGAACTACCAATCCCAGTTTACACCTATTGAAGTTAAAACAATTTCATCAATGGGTGAATCCTCCTGGATCACGCCCTGGTATGACTAAAAGTACTGCTTTACTCTGTAATTAGCCCTCTAAACCCAACCTCTGCAGAGGCTGATTCCAAAGACAGTTAAAGCAAAACAGCCCTAAAAAAACACACTAAAAAACCCAAACCTCAAGTCTTCATTTTCTTCCCCAATGATCAAGATCAGGGGTCATTTCGTAGAAAAGGAGGTGCAGGAGCTCATTAGCATAACTCATTAGCATAACTTATTTGCATATGCCACATCCCTTGACATCAACAGAAATGTGTCAGAAGGCAACGCCCACCACTCAGGCTCCACTGGACTGTTTTGGATTGCTAGCTATTGGGGGGAGGGAACGTGCAGATCTGCCCTCGCAGTGGAGGGAGAGCTGGTACCTCAATAAAACTTGGTCTTAAAGGTGCCACTGGACTATTTTGGACCGGGGGGCTGGGGGGAGCTCTGTAACTTACCTGGCTGCTTCTTGCTCTGACTGAGGGCTGCTGGGAGCAGGGGGTGGGGATTATTGCATGTGCCCACCCCATGGCCTCTTTACTGCCGGAGCTCCACTCCTGTGCGCTCCTGCAGGAAATCACCCCTGATCAAGATAACCATGACTGAAAAAATTCTGGTGCCCTTAGCACAGTTACGGAAGAGTTGTTACTTTGAGGTTTCACCTCATAGTACAGCTGCAATGTGCAACAGGCCCAGAATTATGCATTCCTATCATCTAGTCATCACCCATCCAGAATCTTGAGAGAAGGCTTCATGATAAAGGACCTGCACAATTGGCTTCACCCGCATGGCAGCAGGCTTTTAAAAATCACAGCAGCATCTTAGGTTGTACCACATTCTGCAGATGAATCTAAGAAAGCAGTATATGGAAAGCAGGGGTGGGAGGCAGGAGCTGAAGCAAGTAGAGGGTATAAACTGATACTAAAGGCAAAAGCTATTTATGCAAAAATAAGTAACCTGGAAAAACAAAGAAGGGCTAGCAAGTAGCAAAGTGGAGATGTGGAGACTATGTGGGCCTAACTAGGAGCTAGGAATCAGAGAAACAGCTAACAATGATGGTAAAGCAACTTACTTGGGCCTTAAGAGTAACGCAGCGAACCCTTCTAAAGTAGTCATTTTAGAGAAGACTGGGATACTCCTTGCTGCTTGGTTCAGCATTCCCTGAATTGTAAAATGGGAAGGAGCTCAAACTGATTCCTCAAGGGAGTCTGACTCCTAGAAAGGGCCAGCACAACACCCAAAGTCTCTGATACATGAACTCTAGTAGGTTGTGTGTGGGCATTTATTTGACCTCTGTACATGTGTCAAGCACTGTCAAAGTCCCTAGTGGCAAAATTAAGACACTACTGCTCTTTGCTGAAATGACATGTACCTTGGACCCTAACTACACACTGGAAAGCTCTTTTCTATTATTAACCTACTACTTAGGCACCTAATATCTGGGGGGCCTTGTTCTGCAAAATAGTTAGCAAAGTGGCTAATACAGGTCAATAGTGCAGGAATTCTTAATCATCTCATCTACCAGCCACAGGAAATGAGGACCATGATTCAGAAAGAACAATCATGCTGGTTTACATTGCAGAAGCCACATGGCTGGGATAAGTTGGTTTAGCAAAAGAGAATAGTAAACCTGGGGAAACCTGGAGAGACAGAAATAGATAGGCAGCAGCTGGGAAGAGGAGACTAAAGGTGATCTTTTAATTACTTTGTAAATCAACCCCCTACTTATATATTCACAGATTAATTATGTCTCAGGCAGAATTGTATTTTCAAGAGAACACTCTTTGTTTTATTTGATCAATCACTTATTGTTTTAATTTTCACATACATAAAACCTGCAACTCCAAGAAGCTCTAAAATGAATACATGAGAAGTTAAAAAGCAGTGAAATACGTTACCTAATTTAATGATTAAAGATGCCTTGTGATTCATGGCCTATAAACAAGTTGTTAAGAGTGTGATCATTTTTTAAAAAGCAAAATAGATAATTTCCTTCCAAATTGCAACATGGTTGATGCCCCTGCTTGACTAGCCAGTTAGATCAACGCATGCAGGCATAGACACCTAAGCTATTGCAAAGCTTAGATAAAGTTCTATCACATACCTTTCACCAAGGTCAGACCAGTCTAGAGCTAATCTTTCCATACCACTCAATGCCCCATACCTAATACCCCAATCATAATAATGGAAAAGCTTGCTGTAGGATATGGGGAAGCATTTAAGATTGCCCAATGTCATTAAATACTTCTTAGCTTTCTATATAAAGGGAAATATCGAATTGCAGCAGTACATCCTCAACTGTTATAACAAGGTGCTTTCCCCTCGCACTCAGCAGCCATAATCTGACCATGACAGTCTAAGAATAAAGACAAGTTATGTATAGGAAACACCTACCTCCTCCCCACTTTAGGAAGTCAAGATGGTGGAGGTTGGTTAAAAGATGCTGGTATGAGTACACACATACATTTGGGCCTCCCTTTTATGTAGGTACTCAGATATATTTAAAATTCTACAATAGGCCCAGCTGAAGCACATCCACTTGCTTTAAAATACATTTATGCAGTAGCTCAAGAGCATTTTTTCATGCAATCTTCAACTAAATGGAAAATTTGTGGTACACTATCACAAACATTCCAAAGGTTGCTTTATGCCATATAAGTCTGCATGGTCCTGTACTGATCCAAATATGCAATCACTAGATGAGTGTTTAGGCATCTGTGAGTGAGACCCTTACCGGCTGGACTCCTAGGTCCTGAGGCAGTTACGAATCATTCTGGGGTATGAAAATTCCCGCTCCTGACAAACAATGACTGAAAGGATTCATTTGCCAGTTACTGCTCCTATCAGTTGTGTTCCAAAGACGTCAGGACAGTGTTTACCAGTTTATACTCAATGCCCTTATGCTGGACTAAGAGACAGAAATTACAGACTCATTGCCAAGTGAACCCTGGTTTCTCAGGAAGAAGAAGAAGAGATTGGATCTATACCCCGCCCTTCACTTGGAGTCTCAGAGCAGCTTACAAACTCCTTTCCCTTCCCCTCCCCACAACAGACACCCTGTGAGGTGGGTGGGGCTGAGAGAGCTCTTGACAGAAACTGCTCTTTTTCAAGGACAGCTCTGCCAGAGCTTGTGACTGACCCAAGGTCACATCAGCAGGTGCAAGTGGAGGAGTGGGGATCAAACCCGGTTCTCCCAGATTAGAGTCCACGCACTTAACCACTACACCAAACTGGCTCAGATCCAAACCCAACATCCTAGCCAGTACACCATACACTACTATGCTTTTGAAAAGTGAGACTAACAGAAAAGAGTTCCACTCTTTTACCAAGCCAGAGATGGAAAAGCTTGCGGCTTTCAGAATATTTTTATGTATTAATTAGGGAGAAAGGTGGAGTGAAAATGGAGTCTCAAAGTGACATACAACATTCTTCCATACTGTGTAAGGTAGGGTTAGGCTGAGAGTATGTGACTGGCTCAAGGTCACTCAGCAAGCTTCTGTGACAGTGTTGGGATCTGAACCTAGGTCTCCCAGAACCTTGTCTGACACTCTAACCACTACACCCTGCTGGAAGAAGGGTTAATACTTAGACAATATTTTGTCCACAGTCTGATGGGGATACACCTTCCTCAGAGCAGAGGGTCTTTCCCAAGGAGAGTTTTTATTGACACTAACAACACACCAGGGGAACTATGTTGTTTATAATGAGGGTGTTCTACACACCTAGCAGAAGGGGATAATGAGGAAGTCCTGCAAGAATCAAGTATCAAACTATGCAGTAGTCCTGAGAAGCTGTTTATATCACCACCTGCTCTTAGCAATAATGTGACCAAAACTCCTGTGCTATTGAAAATACTTGTTTGTGATACAGACTGGAATTTTATGGCAGGCTCAGGTTGAAGATCAGAAGAAAAGAAAGCAGAATCATCTACAACAAAAATCAGGATTTTAGATAAATGTTCAAAACCAGAATTTGATGAAGTCCACTGCATATTCTGCATAGGTACTTCTTGCCTGCAATTCAGATGTCCCAAACATCAGATGTTCAGATGTTCATGATAAGCACCAACTTGGCTAATTGCTGAGTTTGCATATTCCTTCTCCCTACCTCTCCTATGTGCTGGATCATGACTGAACCCGGAAATCTTCAAGAAACTCCAACCAGTCATGGAATACAAGCACTTTAACAAACTGATGTTTGTTTCTTACTCCAATAACCTGGAATGGTTAGGAACACTGGTTGCTGAGGGAGCAAAGTTAAGTTTGTTAAGGCTCCTGCATTTAGATGTCACAATTAACTAATCTTGGTGCATCATGTGAGAGTGAAGGGAGACAGAAAGACTGTGCATAGTTCGGACAAGTTAACTAAATTCATGACCATGACAAACAGCTCCAATTTGTTTGTGATTTTTGCAGCAACATAACATGAGAAACATCCCAAATAAATCAGTTGCCCATGGAAAAGAAATTGAATTTATGATACCTTCTAGATTTCATGTGGTTTACCTCCATCAGAGCTTTAAAATTTAAGCTCCTTTTTCTAAAAGCTGCTTTTAGTTCTTGAACACTGACAGCTACTATTAAAAAAAAGACCAGGAAAAAATCAATCACACAAAATGAAGTAACAATGGCCACAATCTTCAGAGTACTATATAATTTGGCAGTAGTTCTCAGTAACTCGTGCCAGCACAGGCCCTATTCAAAGAGGCATTTTATAAGGAAGAAAAAAAGTGTTGTGTGTAACAAAAAACCCCAACAAAACTAAAAAGCAATTTTTTGCAAACATTTTCTGATAAACATGATCCAGAATGTATACACAAAATAAAAAAATAGAGTGAAAAAGGGTTGCCAGATCTTACCTCCTTGCTAGTGGGGGGTGGGAGGGAGCTCTCTGGGAGTGGTGGGATATGACGACATCACATGGAAGTGACGGATGTTGCATGGTGATGCTCTGGTACTTTGGGCATAAAACTATGATTACCATAGAGTTTTGCCCAAAATACCAGAGCATCACCGTGTGATGTCCTTGGTGCGAAAATGTCACTTTTGCGTGACGTCATCACATCAGGAACGGGTCTTGGCTGTTGAGAGCAGGACTTCCCCCACAAGCCAGCTGGGAAGCGGGGGCAGGAGCCCAAAAAATTGGGATATTCCCCACTCCCACCTGGGGCCTGGCGACCCTAGAGTAAAAAGGTACATAAATCATGGGGTAAGGGTATGCAAACACCAAAATTGGTATCTACATGCATCTACAATGCATAAAATATTATAATAATATGTCACCTGGATATTATTATTTTCTACTAGATAGAAATGTAATGGCTAAATATGTTAATTAATCTTTGTAAATACATTTTGCAGAATTCCTTGTGCCATAATTCCATTTTAAAATAAAGTTTCCGTTATTTACACAGGACTCCAGAGCTATTTATAGCAGTCTGGTTAAATCTAGTTTAAATGTCCTGTGTACAATGTGCTAAAACACAAGCAGGATTTATAAAAGAAAACAATCAATGGTTCTTGGCCCTTAGAAGTAAAGATTCAGTGTTTCGTCTCTGCCTTTTATGAGTCTTAATTTTAGTGGTTACTGTTTTTATGTGTTGGTGATTTGCCACTGCTGGACCTCCTGATGGCACCTGGTATTTTTGGCCACTGTGTGACAGAGTGTTGGACTGGATGGGCCATTGGCCTGATCCAACATTGTCTTCTCTTGTGTTCTTGTAGTGTTCTTGTGTATTGGATTTTATTGCAGTTTTATCAGTTTTACTTGTAACCCGCCTTAAGTGAGTTTTTATAAAAAATGGCAACATATCAATTGTCTTAGTAATTAAATTATCATAATAATAGGAAAGTGCATCTAACCTCCTCTAAAACCTGAAATGGTATTTATAAAAAAAAAATTAAAGCCCTTAAAATGGAAAAATCACCAGTACCACTGTTTTTAGAAGTATGACCATTTTGCTTCTATTGTGATATAGGTTTAGAAGGGTAGACTGCGTTTCTTCTCTTTAACAGGTTTGTAATTGTTTTCTGCCCATACCTACATTGTTTCTAATATTTCCTTAGAACCTTAAAAGTACAGTTTCTTGAAAGGAACAGCAAGATTCCCGCCTTAAAAAGACTGGCAGCCTGACTTCCTGGAGTGGAGAAGCTTTGAGAGGTGGCTTACCAGGTTATATCACTCTGCAGACTTCAAGAATCCGTTAAAAAAATTAGTCACTCCCCTGGAGAGTACAACTCTATTTTATCCTGTTTCATGCTGGGTCTTTATCCTTTATGTAGGCAAAAAGACACGACTGCAAACTGGAGACTTAATGACACTTGGACTTCAAAAGACTCCACTTTTATTTCAGCTATTTTCTTTTTCTCACTTACAACGGTCACTTTTATTTCACTGAATGCATCATAGTCTCTATTTCACCTGTTCTTATGATAACAGTGCTGCTCCTTAGTAAAACAAATCAACCTTTTAAAGAGGAAAGGGAAGACACTCCCTAGACACAGAGAATCCCCTTGCCTTTGTATTTGGTAAACCTTGTCATTTTTCTTAATGGATCTAATCATTACCACATATTAGTTTGAACACGGGTAGGTTTTTGCTTTTGTGACAGAACTTTGATTCTATCAACACTAACTGGATTTTATAGGTAC